CCCCCCCTAAATTTGGCTTAATTCTTTCTGTTATATAATAAATTTCATAGGCTATGATAATTCATCGTATTGCAAAGTGTACATAGGGTTTTATTATTTATGGGGCAACTAATAGCCCAGGGAATCCTTTGAAAAATTACATAGATGTAAAGTCTTTGGAACTTACTATTGGATGGAAAAATTTCTGCCCATGAAGAAGCATGAGAATGTGTGTATCTCTGTGTTCTTTTTTTCTCTCTTGGGAGTGGCCTACTGTCTTCCAAAATGGTTTCTTTTTGTTATTCTGTCTTATCCTTTTCACTATCCAAAGTAATTTTTACATTACAGTCTTTCTTTATAAGATTTAGTCTTAATGCTTAAAACTGGTTATTATTTAGAAATGGCACAGTGAATGCTAACATCTTTGTTTTGCTTTTATAGTATGGTAGCAGGGGTGAAGATATGCAGCACAGACAAAAATGGAATTTCAGTAGCTGTTGTTTAATAAATAACTTGAACAAGTATCCACATGCTATTTTTGTAGGAATCTATACTATTTTGCTTACACTAATGCTTAACGCATGGTTATCCCATATTCTAGAGCAGAAATAACTAGCTAGATCGGTTAACTGGTCCAGCTGAGTTTAATAATTGTGTTCAGATTGATGTGCTTCCAGAAGGCTGCTAGGAACTGAAAATTCTGCGGAGACTTTAGGTTGCATTCCTGATACTATGATAGTTAATGGCTGAATTCCTATTACTTCCACTTTTCCTGAGTCTGAAAAAGTACATGAGTTTCTTAACTTGATTGTAAAATAATACATAGTACTTTATGGATGACTTTTAATAATATTTGAAGGGACATTTTAAAGCTTAAATGAAAATTTAAATGCTGTCATTCTTTTACTGTTTGATAATATGAGTGATACTTCCCACACCTGAAAGATTTGATGTTTTTTACTGTAGGTGCTGTTGGCAATAGATGCTCCCAGAAGACACAAGGTATCAGTACATGTCCTTGCAAGGGAAATGGATTCCTGTAAGTATTGTTCTGAATATAGTATGTAATCAATTCCTGTTCAAGCAAGCAATAGTTAAATATATCCATTTTATAAGTTTTCTTCACATGGGTGCTTTGAATTTTCTGATTGATATTTGTGACCAAGTTCTTCAGCCATTCTGAAGTAAACTGATATTAAAACAGTATATCTTAAAATACCACTTATTTTTTCAACAGGATATTTAAAAAAAGAATAAAGTCTGTAGTAGTTCTACAGGGAAGAACAAAACTAGAATTTGCAGTTATCAGTGCAATGTGTTTCATAGTTTTTTTTTTTTTTTCCTGACAAGCAATGAATGTCTGAAGTTTTATTCAAGCACTCTCCAAAAAAACCCCAGAACAACAAACAACCACCCTCTGGGAATGTCAGACATTCTATTTAAAATTAAGAAAGTCAAAGTTTATTCGGGTTTTATTTTAAAATAGTCTAGCGTAGCTGTGCATTGTAATCTATTGTTCTATTTTAGAATTCAAGAAGGAAAAGATTATAAGTGTCTCTGGTTAATATAAAGAAACTGAGAGGAAAAAATTCTATGTTGTTTTGTGCAGATTTTTCACCAGTTTATACTGGGCTTAAATTCCAACATGTAACTGGTTCCAAAATTGAGAATATTAAAGGTTTGTCTGTAGAACAGAAAGAAGCAGATAGCTGTGTGCCTGTTAGGAACCTCCTTGCAGTTTCAGAATGACTGACTTTTATGGTACCCTGGAACTTGTAAGTCTGCAGCTGAGTAAGGAAGACTTGCTTTAAAACATCTTCCCAGTTTTCATGACTAATCGTTGTTGAATATAAATAGCTCTAATACTTTTCCTATCCAGAGAAAACTTTTTAAGTGTAGTAACTACATTGCCAGAATGGTTTATTATTTGCTTGGAATGGTATCTTCCCAAGACAAGGGTGAGCACAGGAGACAACCTAAGTGGTTACTCTTTACAGGGATGATAGCAAGGTATTTTCTCCACAAGTCCCCAGTCCCAAACCATTTATTCTGGCATGTGGCCTCTCTTCTGACATCAAAGAGAAGTTGGGACTTTAATGCACTTCCCGTGAGTCCAAATGAAGTATTCTTCCAAGGGCAGGTGCCCATCCTCTAGAAAACAACACAAAGGAGGAAGTGTAAAAAGCTTCCCAGAGAGAACCCTTTCTCCTGGAGGCAGTCACACCATTTTCTCTGAGAGTGGGAAAGAATTGGAAGCAGTAGAGATCTGGGATTTTAGGAGGGAGAAGCACTTGAACTCCCAGGATGAAGATTAGGGTTGAAATTTGAGTATGGAGGTAGAAAGGAGGTTTAAGAAATTTAAGACTAGAAGTTCTTATGGACAAGTGGATTGGATGCAGAAAGAAATTTTGGGGGGACTGGAGTAGGGCATGCATGGGGACAGGCAGGGAAGAGTTGGGGCTACTATCCAGAATTTTGGTATGTGGAGTAACCCTCACGCTTCTAAGATGTGCTGTTGCGTTGCTTTTGTTGTATATAGCACTGGTATTTACTACTGTTCTCATAATTTATACTGAAAAACAGTTTTAAGTATTCATTGATTATGATTAGATTAGCAGTAGATTAGCAATTTTTATTTCTAAATTCTGTCTATGTATAAGTAAAATGAATAAAAGCCACTACCTCAGCACGTGTTCTCAAGTCAAATAATGGATTAAGCTCTTTGTATTTCTAAAGACAGCCATAAAGTATAAAAGCAGAATTTTCAGAAAATCTTAGTTAGAAATACTTTAATAACCTGTGCTTTATATAGATACCTGTCTTATAAAGAAAACAGTTTATTATGTAAAAGGTACTGATTAAATTATGGTCCTGAATTAATTTTGATGATGTTAAATAGGCCCTGTTGTTGGAGAATTTCCATGCCAAAATGATGTGAACCTGGCACCAGCACCACCACTACCACAGGTAAAAAAGAAGTAACACACAAAAAATCCGAGACTGTATTCTTAATATGGAAGTATAGTTACCATTAAATATAAATTTATAGGGAGAAACAAACTCCAACAAACTTTCATCATGCTGTTGTGGGGCTAACATTTCAACTCTTTTCCACATGCACTGTCATTCCCAATAACATTAGGGATTTTTTTTTAATTTTTTTTTTTTTTTTACTTTTTAACAGTCTGTCCTGTTAACTTTATTCCTTCTGTTCCATTGAAATGGAAGCTAATAGTAGTGAACTCATGAGTTCTACACTATGGATTAAATACAGATTATTATTGTCTGAAAATACTGATTGTATCTGATCAGATGTATCAAGTGTCAAGAGAAGGATGCATATGCATCAATAAATATATAATCTTGGATTAAAAAAAACCCAAAACAACCAAAAACCAAAACACAAACCACCACCAACAAAACCAACTATCTGGTAATTATCTTTAAGCCTAAAATATTAATGCACGTTCCTGTCAATGTGTAACCTGTGAAGGAAGCAGTGTGAGAAATGCTATTCATACAAGTGTTACGTATTTCACTGTGTGGTTAGATATGATAGCACTGGTCCCTTACTGGATGCTAAATTAATTTTCTTGAAGAAGGATGGTAGTGTTTGTCCCAATAGATAATTAACTTTTCTCAATGCATTAGTAGATCTGTGCTCTTATTCAGCCCATACAGGTAAAATAATCATCACGTGTGGAAATTTCTCTATGAATTACATGTGGATATATTAGCCATTATGAGTGAAATGTTAAAAAGTTACTTTTTTACTGTAACAAAAAATAATAGCTCATTGAATTGCTATTGTTTTTATGATCTTACCTTGATATTCAAAGGGTAGCTGGGATGTTCTGAAGCAGAATTTGTAAATTAAAAGACAAGCTCTGCATTTACTAAAGTTCCTGCCATTATGAGTAATGCAATTTACTGCATTATAACTATTGTTTTAAGTTATTTAGAGTAAATATGAAACGATTTATTTCATAAGACATAACACTGTATTTTGGGGGATCCTGTAATAATGAATCACTAATATTGTAGAAACGAGCAAGAAAGATGTGTTCATATATAGCTGTAGCAAAAGTTAAAATGAAAAGAGAGGAATTTCTCACTTTTCTGATTAAAGATATTGAGCAGACTTTTTCTTGCGTACGCTTCTTTGCAGCCAAGTGTGATTGAAAATATGACAGAATTCAAGCGCAGCCTGCCACTTTTTCCACTGGTGAAACCACATATCAATTTCATGGCTGCAAAACTGTGAAGAACCCCAACGGATGAAGAAATGCAAATGATCAGTACTGACATGGTTTCAGGGGACTTCATGATGAACAAAATTATTAAAGATCATTAGGATAAATGGTTCTGTCCGTTATGAAAGTCCTGAATTACTTCTTGGTTCGTTTGACAGTAGCTGTGTGTTAGGGATAGAGAGTATAAAAATCAGTTGTGGTCATGTGTCATTTATATTACAGACAACCTGTTGAAAATGAAAACCAAAATCAACTGAAACAGTAATAATAGTAAAAAACTTGTAGATGCAGTATATTTTTAAAATAGCATATCCCTTCAAATTTTCATTTTGATAAAATAACCCTCCAGAGCAAACCAGATTGCTTTGAAATGTCCTTGTTACTCCTGAAAAACACCATTTAGTATCCCAATAATTATCTTATTTGGGGCTGGAGGGGGTGAGAAAAATAGGTCCTTTTTGAGATGGGGTCAACAATTTTTCTTAAAAATAGAGACTTCCACATTTTTTGAAGTGACATGTTGAATGATACTTTTTTTAACTGATCCTTAATGCAACCAACATATTTTCTATTTAAGTTTTATGAAGACCTGTGGGAGAAAATAAAAGGAAATTTGACAACACAATAGTAAGTGAGAGAATTGTGTTAATGAGAATAATTGAAGATATGGGCATGATTTTAATGTTTCTATACAAATTTGGGGACATTTTATATTAAAACTAGTAAAATGCTGGAAACACTTTAATAGTGCATCTTATTTTTGTTATCAAAAATGCTGTCCCAGTCTCTTGATACTGTCAACATCCTGTTCAGTTTTTCAGTGTTACTGTGAATTGTTTCCATTTGGTATATAAAAATACTTTATTTGGTATCATTTTTTGTTTTCAGTTGTGAATGTACTGATGGAGAACTCAGTCTGTTTTGCCTCAAATGAATGTTAGCTCTCAGTCCAGCAAAGTACTTAGTAGTGCAGATAAGCACGTGTTAGTTCTTGACTCAAGAACAGGTGAATGTTAGATATGGGCCCCGTGATGGATCAGATACATCATGGTTCTGATGAATCTGTGTGGGTTCTTGTCCTTCAGGAAGGCTTTTGGGACAGTGCAGTACTGGGTTAGCAGTACTGCTATAGCAGGGTGTAGGTCAGGTTACATCACAAAATGTTTGTTCCTCCTACTTTTAAGAAAGCTGCACAAAACCCAGAAGGATCAAGCATTACACTGAAATACTACTCATATATATTCCATTATTTAGTAAAATGGTAAAACAATATATGGTGTCTAATCTTCACCAAGTTTACTGACTTCTACAGAGTGGTCTTGTGCTTGGGACAGCCCCCAAATAGAAGAAAGTAAGGGAGAATCTTACTAAGTTCTTCTACCTGTTTGTAATTATTCAGACAGGATAGAGTATGCAAAGCACTGAAGATACAAAATCTGCTCATCAGGGATGTTACTGAGTTTGCTGCTTATTAAAAGAACCTGAAACTAAGGCACTGACATGACATGCATGCTGTTGTACATCAGAATCGCGGTGTATACAATAGGGCTGTTCTTGTCATTGATAAATGTGCGTTCTGAAGACAACTTAAATGAATGCTTGATAGGGTAAAGGCCTTAAGTTGCGTTCATCTGTGAGTCTCTTCCAATTGAATAAATACAGTGTATTTTAAAAGCTTACCAGCACATGTTTGAACATCTTTTTAATAAATTTGGTGATAGTTTGTGATGTAACCTGTTGCCAAGGAAGGCCACTAGCATTTTTTTTGTAGCCTGAGAAGAAAAAAAATTAAACATAGTATAAGCAAAACCAGTAAAGGTGTGTGTTGATGATGTTTTTGCAGGATCCTTCAAGTAAAATGGGCTTTTAACCCTTTTGCATTTTACTTTTGTTTATAGTTTTCCTTTAGTAAAAGTATTTGTATTATATATATTAAAAGTTTTGACAACATATTATAAAAATATATATTTTGGGATTTAGTATTTAAACATACCACTCTTACGGTGAATAAAATTAAATAGCTTCTATTGTGTGTAAAAATAGATAGATATATATATTAATGGAAGTACTATCAACTCTAATTTTAACAAATTATATAAAAAAAATTGGAATAGCAGTGTATTTAACACAAGCTCACATATCATGTTTTCCAGAGGAAAAAAATGTAGAATTTCAAGGTTCTGTGACTGGATGTGGAAACCCATGTAGCTTTCCAGCAACTCTTAATTGCTTTCAAGTGTTCTCCAGCATTTTACAGTTTCTGAGTTTGATATAGCAGTAAATTTTGATAAACTCAGGCATACTAATGGATTCATTTTAGTGGATCCAAAGCTGCAGTGTCTACAAGCAATAAAAAAACTACCTAGAATACACTGTAATTCAATTTTAGTGCTTGTTAATTAGTTTATGTAAGAAACCATAAATTATTATTACATAACTGTAATTTTTGCAAGTGCTATTTTAAGCAGTTGATGTGGAATTGGGTGCATGTGACACAGCCAGTATGACAGAGTGCTAGAGTTATTCTGTTTACAATAAACAATCTGAATTTAGTGTTTGGAGTTCTTAATTTGTTTCATTTTAATTTTTTGCATACTGGTAATGTTACATCTATCAGTCTGTGCATGTTTTTTATTATACGTTAATTGTGATTTTCTGCTATTCAGGTGCTTGGAATAGTTAGGCATTGCTGGAGAAGTGTTCCCAGTTGCTTCTAGGGAAGTTTCAGAGAACTTTCCCATGTGGCATCCCACACCTTTTAGGTAGATCCACCTCTGTTGCTCTCCAAGTGTATGAAAAATTAATAATAGAAGTATTTGCACAAGACGGGATTTTAATTATCAGATCTGAACTTGTAAATTCAGAGCATCACTGCAGCCAGACTGAATCGTGCCTAGTACAGCTTTACAGTGTTGCTTTTGACAAATTAGTTTTCTTGGTCATTTTCTTTTAGTTTATGCACACCAGATTACCTTTCAAAAGATTAGGGGTAATTGTGATTGTTAGTACAAACAGTAAATAATATCAGTTCTGAATTCTGACAGCATAAAGATACAAGTCAGCAGGCACTTCACTTCTGCTGTTCTAATGGGGCTCCTTGAAGTAATATCCTGCAGTTAGCAACGTTAAAAGAGGCAGGTTTTGTCGTTGGCATTGGGAAGAGTGGTTGGCATTCTCAGTGGAGAAATAAAATGCCCACAACTCACCTGGAAAATTATTTGTCCACAACATCAGGGCTCTCTTTCTCCACTCCGAATCATTAGGGTTTGGTGTAAATCTTGTCTCATTGTCTTTATTCTCATTTGCAAAAGATCAAGCTATCCAACTTTACTTCATCTATTACTGTTGGCCATAAAAAATGCTTGAGCTTTTTCAGAACATTGTTTAAGTGCTTGGATGTGAACAGACCTTATTGGTAATGAGTTCTCCAGTATAATCATTGTGTGGTAAAAGCATTGCCCAGCTTTGTAACTTCATTTATTATTTTCTAGCTCTTGTTTTAAAACAAGGCCAGCAGAATTTTAATCTACTTTCTCTGTATCATTTAACTGGTTAGTATGCTTTTGCTATAGGTCTGCTGTAAAGTCAAAAATCATTATCTTCTACACCTTTCTTCATAGATTTTTTCCATATTTTTTCAATAGCTGACCACTGAACTGATTTGGTAATCTACAATGACACCTGGGTCCTTCTCTTGAGCTGATACCTAATTTGATATTCAAATTGAACTCTGAAATACTTTGTTTTCAAATCAATTTTGAATATTGTTGCTGCATGCTGCACAATACAAGGCACCTCTGTGCTATTTTAAAGGCAGAAGAAAACAGAAATTACCTTTCATGTGTTTTCAAAAGAAGCCTGACCTATGTAGATTCTGCTAGAAGGCTTTTATTTGAAACAGTTCAATCTGTTTTACCATTCAAAGAATATACTCATAGTGTGTGCTGTTGGTGGAATATAACATTTATAGTGTGTGAAATCTGAATTGCAATTTAAAGGGAGAAAGTGTGTAAGACCAACAGCCCAGCAGAATGGGAAATGTCGCAATTAAACCAATTTATTTGAACTCAAGCATCTAAATAGAATTTAAGATTGAAAATATTTATGCTTCTTAAATTGGTATTTCTAAGCCACCCCAAGACTGTTAACTAAGAGTGCAGCATTAAAGGATGTAGGAACCACACTGCTGAGCATTTGCTGCTGTTAACTTTTAGGACTCCCTTTTTAGTGATGCAGTGTAAAATTCCAGATGAAATTTCTTGACTGTGCAATGGATGAGGGAAGATACATGGCACCAAGGGGACTTCAGTTTACTGTTGCACTGAGCGAGGAAGTGACTAGGCTTAGCCCTTAGGGAAAACCTAGTGAGAGTTTAAATCCTTCATCTTTCTGAGGATTTGCCACCGTCTTACTGTGTGTTAGATGTGCTTCCTTCTGCTTCAGATTTCCATTACAGCTTTTCACTGCCTGCTTGGCTTCCCTTTCAAGAAGGGGAGCAAGGAATTGTGTTACTTTTCTGGTGACTGCCAAAGATACATAAACTTTTTTACTGGAGCAGCAGCTGGAACCCATGACCCCCTTCCAGCCCTCACCTCCACCGGTACACAGACCTGGGTGTCCCGTAGTACATGTGGCACATGCATGCACATATTCTGGTGGTGAATGCTTACTCTGCAAAACTGGAACAGGCTCAACAGAGGGGAATGAGGAGGTTCCCAACCTAAATTACTGACCTCCTGGGAAGCAGGAGAAACAGGCTAGAGAAATGTCTAATAGAAGATGGAAATGAAGTAGATTTTTTTTTTTTTTTTTTTAACTTGCACTAACCACTGAGTTGTGGCATAGAAGAACATGCTTTTTATATGAAGTCTGTTGTGAAGGACAAACTGATGGGAGTGATAGAAGATAACCTGCTTGTGAATTCCAGGGAGATGTAGGAGATCAATACTGATACATTTTACATGCTTAAGGCTGACTGATTTATGTGCACAAATGGTATTCTGGGATATGAAATGTAGAAAATGTGCGTTCAAATGTTAGTGAAAGCTGAGACTGGGCTTTGAAGATCTAAGTTTTTGATGTGATGAGTTTTATTGGACAGGGGTCTTAAAAATTTGCTTAGTGGTGCATTTCATAAGGCAATGTTGGAACCGTTTTAAAACACCAGAAGTGTGTAAACATTTCACAGCCATAGTGCTCAAAAATGGTTCACTTGGTGTTCTTCAAACTTTCCAGCTTGTGTTGGAATGAAATAAGTTTAGCAGGACAGGTTTCAGTGCAAATGAATATTTGCGCATGTATGTAAAAGACGGGGAAGTTCACAACAGATTAGTGCCCACGGGGGCTCTGGAGTCAGTAAACTGTCAAAGGGTTCAACGCTTTATCTTTTTGTTATTACAGTAACTTTTAGCCTGCTAATATTTGTGCATCCCAAGCCTTCTGCAATATGGGGCGGGGGCAAAAAGTGTTTCTTATGACCACTTACTGCAATTGAAGTTCTGTGTTTTGATTGTGAGGTACCAGTATCATTCACTGGCACATACCTGTTAAGGGTGAAGCTTCAGGTATCTGAAAATAAATTATTCAGATAATTACTCTGTTCACAGATTTGAATAATACTCATTTCCAGATAAAACTGTAGGAAGAGAAAGTAATTGTCACAGTTCTGCAGCATTAAATGTATTTTAGGAACACAGGAATCTGTACGTATAACTGGTTCTGGCATTTCCACAAGCTGATTGTTTAGTTATGTTACTCTTTGTATCATCTTCAAAGGCAGAGATGTCAACTCTTCATCTCGCATTGCGTCATGTCTCTCTGACCAAGGTGAGGTGACCAGATACTTCCATTCGTCACATCAGCCAAGAGTGTCATTGATGTCCCTTTCGCACTGGCATGCACTGGATGTGGGCTGCATGCATGTTCTAGGTTATTTTTTCTGTGATTAGAACTTCTAATCATGGTAACCTGTATCCATAAAATTATACAAAGATGGTATCTACAGTATGTCTAAGCCCGGAGAGCCAGGCTGGACTGCTGCTGAAGCTCAGCAAAGTCAGAGATTTAAGCAAATAGAACTGTTTCAGAAATAATTTGAAAACAGGTGCTACTCAGCTGCAGCAGGAGACTGATCTGCTGTTGTATGCACAGTATGATTTCATTGCTGTGAATAATATAATAAATGTACCTTATGCAGCCTTTTCCTGGAAGTAGGCATATTTAAGAGTGGAATAGCTTGTAGGCATTGTGTAACTTGAAGAATGCATATACAAAGAATGCTTGTAGCTTGGATTTTCCACTTGAATTTAGATGTCGGTAATCATTAGTTTAAACATGTTATGAATGTGAAAATACAGAAGATTGTATTAAGCTCAGTGTATACAAAATATAAGTGTGAGCTGGGGTGCTTGCCCGTACTATGAGCCATTTAATAAAAGTTATGTTGAAATGGAAGATAATGCATATAAGTCAAAAGCAACAAGTTGCATGCCATTTTGCACTTCTTGTCTGATAATCATGTCTATCTGTCATGTCGTTGTGTATAAATCACAAATTCCTCTGAAAAGGGGTCGTATGTTATGTCTGTAAACTACCAATGCACAACTGTGGCACTGTATTGCTAGTAATATGTATTTGGCTTTTGTAAATGTTGAATTTAGTAATTAAGAGTGAATACAAGACCTTATTTTCAGGACAACTTAGTGTCAGGACAGTCTTAAGTTTCTTTGAGCTTTGAGAGCAGCAGCATAAAAGTAGCAGAAACTCTTACTAATTTTACTAGCTCTACATTCTCTACCAAACAGACACAAAAAAAGGTAGTTGAGATAATTAGTAACTAAATACTTAAGATGGCCTGACAACTGGTGTAAATGTGTTGCCTTGCAGCATATTGATAGCCCTAGATTATAAAATACATCTATCTTAACAATGGTTTTGGTATAAGCTCTGACTAGTCATTTAAAATAATCTTAAATACTGTTGGAATAGTTTTAATAGCCCTAGAAGTCTTGTAACATTCATGTGTGTTCTTTAATTTGAGATCCAGATACAGTGTCTCAGTCTTTAGTATAGAGTCTTGTAGTTTCATAGCTTGTTGGACTGAGCTTTAATTTGGTCACAGAAGAGATCTTCTGTGACAGAGATCTGTTATGAAGATGCCAGAGGAGCTAGCTGCCTTGCTGTTCCCCAGGAGTCACACCATGCAAGCAAAAAGATAAACCCCAAGATAATGTATATCTACATTTGTAAAGTATGTGTTTGCAGTGTAATTTATCACTTTTTCTTAAGCTAAAGTAAATAATATACCTTCTCAGAATTGTGTGAGAAGATTTTATGTATCTGGTTGTCTGGCAGAGGTAACTTCAGAAAATGGACTGCAACACAAAATCAAAACAGAGTGTAGATTTATGTGTATGTTTATATAAGGGTATAAGAGATAGCAAAATCAGTAAGGTTAAACTATTTTACATACTGTTGGCAATTTCTGGTTCATTGAACATGCTGAGGTGCCCTCATAAGTGATACCAGAAATGTACTGCCACCAATGTGCACAGTCATGGTAGACTGGTATTACGGGAGAGAGATGGCACAACTGGGAGAGGTATAATGAGAAGGGATAGCACTACACTATCCACAGACCAACAGCAGCTTGTTAATATATAAAGGTGACTTTAATGTTACTTCCTGGTCCTAAAAGTATGAATGGCTAAAGGTAGCAGGAGAGGAGAGCGATCCTGTCTTTATTGGCCCCCTGCCATCTCGGATGCCTTGGGCAAACAGTAAAGTTCTGCTCTTGAGCAGCAGCTACATCAAATCAAATCTCCTTACTCAACTGTCTTTCCTTCGGTTTGATTTAAGATTAAATGTTACTACCCTCTCCTTGTCGGATGTTGAATTATATTTCCTCTTTTGCAGTATATACAGTGTGCTAATCAGTGCTATTTTCAAGCAGTTACCTGTGCTTCCTGGTAATGGCTATGTCTATGTATTTGAAATCACCTGTCACATCTAGTCCCTCACCTTGAGAATGAACAACAGAACTTGGTGTTTTATTTGTGGTGATGCAAGAGTGAAAGACGAGGTTTGAAATTTTTTTTTTTTTTTTTTTAATCTCTTGTTGAGTCTTGGAAATTCAGGAAGTGGTGATGTAATTGACAGTAAATATTGAACTCTTTAGTGCCATTTTTTACAGTAATAAATTTAAAGTAGGATTGTATGCTTCATTTGCAGAGGAATGTTCAGGTTCGTGATGCAGTCATGCATACTCAATAATTACTTCCTACTGTTTGACCGGGTTGGGGTAAGGGAAGACCAGGAAAGGAAGAATTGAGGGGTTTTAAAAGGTTTTCTTATCTGTTTCAATGTTTAAAGAAAATTTGCTATGCAAGAAAATAAATCATTTTTCACAGCTTAATTTCTACAAAGTGTCAAGTTTTTTAAACAGGTATATTTTAATTTTTTAAGGTGAAGTTTAATTTTCATTGCTTGGAAAACAGCATACACATAAAAATGTCATCTTAAACGATTCGCCATGACGCAAGAAGCTTTCTTGGTATCTTTTCTTCACACTGTAATTAAAGTTCTTCTTGGTGCTATATGATACAACATTTGCTGTTCTTCCCTGTAACAGTGTGAAGAGTTGTGCATTTCAACTTTGTGCATGAAAATTCTCTTGGTTCCGCTGAGGAAAATCATGTTTGTATGATGCTACAGATAGAAATATAACTTTAAATGCTTAATCGGAGAAAATAAATCACTTTTAAAGCGTAGAAATGGTCCAGATATGTATTTTATAAGGAGCAAGGCTGTGTGAAGTTACCATCGTGTTAGGTGTCCGCTGTCCTCGGCCCGCTTGCCTTTCCTCGAGCCGGCGAGGCCTGCGGGCTCGGCCCCGCTCCCTTCTCGCCTCCGCCGATTGCTGCCGCCCACCCGGGGGCAGCAGCCCCCTTCCTCCCCGCCCCGGGCCCCTCCGGCGCGCCGCGCGTGGGGAGC